CGACTGCGCAAGGCATCTCAAGGCTCGGTCTAGCACAATTTGTTAACAGCCTAGTAAGTGAGGCGCTGTGAGAAGCGGATTGAGCATGCGCCCGGGCCGTCTAGAGCGAGGCCAGACTCAAGACTGTCCAAGTGGGGTCTGTGCTCGCGCCTAGTGGCTTTTTTTTCGGCCTGGTCGGAACTCGGAGAAAGGTACAAAATTCCCGAAGTTGGTATGCCGGAAAACTGTTAAGGCGCGTCAGGTAGCTTAAACTTCAGTCAAGAAGAAGAAAAAAGCTTAAGGCTGGACGTGCTGTATCGTGAGGCTCGACATCTGAAGTCTGGGTATGATATTCAGTAGTCTCGGTTCCAGACTCTCATGAGGGCTTTCGGAGTTTGACATTTCCTTTGATAGAGCAAGCTCTGCAGCGGGATTTCCAAAGTCCGCTGATGAACCATTACAAATGGTTTGTTACCGCTGCACCCGCTTGCTCAGCGTCCTGGAACCGAGACTAGATATTCAGAAGCCACAGCCTTCGCAGGTTCTCATGGAGGACTCATGGAGGATTTGAGGACAAAGAGCACGGCAAGGGGTATGCAGGGTCATTCTGGGGAACCCAGGGTCACAGGCATGCAGGCGCCGCTGGGGGACGAGCCGCGCCTTTCAAGTTGACCCCTACCGCGACGGAGGACGCGCGCTGTGATACTGAAACTTGTGTGTTCTTGTCGACGGCTATCACGGCTCGCAGCTCGCTCCTATTGGATGTACCCTCGGCACCTGGGACCAAGGCATGAGGTGAGTTTACGTGTCGCGAACTTGTGTGTAACATCCGAGTTGACCTTCGCCTCTGCGAGATGTATTCGTGTTTCTTTGATAGCCTCGAGTGGCGAGCGCACAGTGTGATGTTGCGCCTTTCTATTACGAATACGGACGAACCGAACGCTCCCCCATGCGCTGTAGCATCGCAAAAATGTTCAGCTTCCTATGCCAACTCAGACGCGCCATCCTCCGCTTCTCCACAAGAGCGGCACTTAATTGTCTATGAAAATCTTTTTTAAAGCATGCACTACCGCCAGCTCACGAAGCAGCTCCTCGAGGTATCGGCTCATGCCATCGTTCCGTACCGGATACCCATACGTGAGTACGATGACAAGCTGCACCCGCTCGCGACTAACTTCATATTGGCGCATACATAGACTTTTCAGTCTGCGGCAGATTATGTCCGTATGTAAGACATGGTCTCTTTGCAGCACTTTGTGCGCTGATTGCGTCGGCCTGGCCGCCGCCTCGTCGAGCGCACCAGCCTCCTCGTCTGCAGCTCTCGTTGAGTTCCTCATTACCGCTGACATAGTAGTTTAGAAAAGACGAAGGACCAAACGCAGGTACCAGCAGTACTGAGGTGTATGCAGGATCCCGGATGGCGGCGGAGGCCACCTGAGGGCGGCGTGCGAACGCCGGCGCCGGTGCTCATGGCCCTATGCCATCACGCATCTCATAGCAACCTTCCCGCCCAGTCGAAAATGCGAGGTGGATCTGCGGCCTTGCTCGACGTATATAAGTCGAATCAGCTGGGACTGTCGCTGCATCAGCCACGAAGAAGGGATCTCTCTTGACAGCTTGGCACTTACACTTGGCAGCCTTCTGAAATCATGGTGCATCTCGCAGGCTTGAAGCTCGCGCTTTTGTTCGGTACCCTCAGCGGCACGTACGCCGCTGGGCTCGTGAAGCTGCCTGTCCGCGCGTCGGTGTAGGTGTCTTGCTTGTCATAGCTGTTCGTTGCGCTAACACGACCATATACTAGGGCGAGCCCCTCAGCACCTCTGGGCAACAAGATCTCCAAGTTAACTGTATCCGGTGCCCATGTTCTGTGGCTGTAGAAGAGGAATGCCGCGCTTACCACGTGCACTGCAGTCACGACTGGGAACGACCAGACGTTCGACAATGTGCTCGTCGACACGGGAAGCTCCTTGCTCTGGGTCGGCGCCTCGAGCCCGTACGTCCCGGGTCCCAACTCGAAAGAGTGAGTCGACGGCAGCTGTACATCCCGCTCTGCACTTACCACGACTGTATTTGGCAGTACCGGCGAGACATTTGGCGTTGAGTACGACGAGGGCAGCGCGACCGGCCTGGTGTACA